TTTCCGTAAAATTGTTAAGTTATTTATTATGCCATCTATTTCACTTGTGATAAATGCTGGCACATGCTGGAGATTATATACATATATATTTAGATCAATTTTTTCGGCACCACCTATCGCCGTGCACGTCGAACTTGTCATAAGTATCGGTAGCATAAAAACATTTTTTTATACATATGAACACATTAAGCCATAGTATTTCATCACCTTCCGTCGCTTTGACGCTTGCTTAAGTGTCACACACTTGCATACATACAATATATAAGTGACGTCAATGGCGGCGAAAAGTAAATGGCTGCTGAGATAATGGTAGTAGTGAGCGTACATCGAATCATAACACCAACGCACAAGTCCATAGGGAACACCATGCTCATGGATTTTACAGCACCAATTTGGGTGTGGAGAGTTTTTGAGCCCTGGGTTATGTGAGGCAAACACACATGAGTAAATGAGTAAAGAAAGGAAACTGACTAGAATGCACGCATAACCACAAGTTCTCTCTCTCTCTCTCTCTTCCTTTACTGCCCACACATGTGTATTTGTACACCACGGATGCGCTGTAACAAAGTCACATTAAGGAAATGACAAAGGCACCGCCAACGTGATCAGAAAACCAAAATCCAATGGAATGTCGCTGAAATCTAGGTAGTCTTGTAGGATGCGAGCAAATGTTTGCTTTTGTTATACAGCGCACGCGGACGCATACAAACCTCGAGCACGAGGCTTATGAATTCAAAGGAAAATAAGAAGAAATTTTGCAATGGAATTGAAATGTGCTTGCTTGGCTTCTTGTAAGACTAACTGTATTTGCTTGATTTTTGTTACTGATAAAAAATGCACATAAAGTGACCTCGCCTAATGTCTCCGGAGAGTTCGACATCGCTCTAGACGTGCCACACATTTCAAGGACCATTGCGCGGCACTTAACGATGTTACGATGTTGTAAATGAGTGATGGTGTCGGAAAAATTATGATGGAGGATTAAATTTTTGTATATATGAAGTAGTAGCGAGTAACATGTGAAAATGTAGAAATGATTGGTGTAACATAAAAGTGTTGCGTGCCATTTTTTCTAGAAGAATAATTCATGAAGTCCTTTGAGCTATTTGATTGCTGTTACATGCACGAAATTAATTACTGCTAAGAGATCTTTTGCAATTTCGGAATATGGACCTCGCATATGAGCATTGAACTCTGCGAAGAAATGGAAATGCTGTTACCCCCCTGGACCATACTTCAAGGACCCGTAAATCTACTTGCTGCAGCGTCTACAGTAGCTTTGTGTGGCATCACCTGCCTTTAAATTTCTTTCCAGTGCAGAAAGTTTAAAGCTGGTTTATGAATCAGCGGAGAAACACAAATGTACCCTAGATACAATAGAATACTCTAGAATACTTCATAAAACAGCCCATGATATCTCTTATGCTATCTAATCCGTGATTGCTACGTTCTAAAGCAATTAAAAAAAAACGCGCTCATCGCTTTCTTTCGAGTATATTTTAACCAATGAAATTTAATGAGTTGCTGCAATAAAGTAGCTTGATCTGCACTTTTCGCTCACCTACCACTGTTCGCTTATGACCTGCAGCCACATTTTGGCTCATCACTCACCTACCGCATCGTTAGTGTGTGAGTGGTGGCTTGTGACTTTTCAGGCATTAAATTGCTCACCATTGTCACGCAATTCACTCTCTAGCACTGTTTTAAGCCTGATTGCCTCCGGTTGGTTTCCTGGCCGCGTTTGCCAGCTTAACTCTGTTGTATTGTATGTTAGAACAATTGTGTCTATATTAAACAAAAAGCCAGCGCTATTGCAGCGTCCGATATTTGCTTTTTTCTGACTCACTTTCTCCGTTTCTCTCTACCTCTCGGCTCTTCTTGGAAACGTGGACCGCACTTCAGTTTCTGTTCGGCATCGGTGTTGCTCATGACTTTTGTTAAATTTAAATTGCCTAATTAAGCGTTTGCCCTGTTGTTGGTTGTGAAGCAAATGGAAAAGGCTTCACCATAACGATTTTCGCAATTTTTCTTTCTTTCTTTTTGCTACTCACACTTAAACAGATGGAATTAGCTTCAAATAAAAAGCATTTAAGTCAAATCTTCAACTGGGCATTAATCAGAGATTATACAGTTTATTAATTAAACTATTAAAAAAATGTTCTATGCACAACAAAAACAAAAATTAACAAATAAAATTAAATAATTTGGAAAAAAATCAAATAGAACTAAAATAAAATAAAACAAAAAAAATTAAAACCAAATGAAATAAAATTTAAGAAAACGAAAATCAAATAAAAGAATAAAAAAATTAAATAAATAAAGGAAAATAAAATAAAATAAGGAACATAAAATAAAAAAAGACAACACAAAAAAAAAAATAAATTTAAAATAAAATAAAATAAATTTAAATCAACAAAGTAAAATTGAACAAATAAATAAAACTACAACAAAAAAAGGAATACATGAAAAATAAAATAAATAACTATAATAAAATAAAATAAAATTAAATAAAATTAAATAAAAAAATAAAATAAAATAAAATAAAATAAATTAAAATAAAATAAAATAAAATAAAAT